AGCCCCGACTGGTGGAGGGCTGCAGTGATGGTTGACTTTCTACAACTTTCTCCCATCTCCCGACTGCATCTCTGGAGCTCAGTCACAGTCATCTGAAGAAATGGACAGCACCTAAGTTAAATATATGAGTGTCACAGCAAAGGGTCTGAATACGACCATGTGATATTTCAGTTTTTCTTTTTTAATAAAACTGCAAAAATGTCAAACATTCTGTGTTTTTCTGTCAATATGGGGTGCTGTGTGTACATTAATGAGGAAAAAAATGAGCTTAAATGATTTTAGCATATGGCTGCAATATAACAAAGAGTGAAAAATTTAAGGGGGTCTGAATACTTTCCGTACCCACTGTATATTCACACTCAGCTCCTGACAGGAAGACAGACCTGCCAGTGTGAGTTGCTGTTGCGTCTCGGAGGCTCCTCCAGCCCTGCTCCGCTGAGCTCCTCGAAGCTGAGGTTGAGGTTGAAGGCTGCTACTTCATGCTGACCTCTCCCTGAGCGTCTGCTGGGCTCCCCGTGGTGCACGGTGCTGCCCTGCTCGCTAGCAGCTCGGGACTCATCCTGCAGCAGAGCCTGGCTTTCAGCATAACGTTGCTCCATCACCTGGAAAAATACAATATTTCAGATCGAGTTTTTGGTTTCAGGACACAGGGTGAATGGCAAACATGCTTTTTCAAAGCACGTGATATATCAAACAAGTATGTTACAGCAAAAGCATGTGCTTGTTCCTTAAGTAGAGCTATTTAGTGGTGCACTTCTCCCTGAATAACCTCTTGCCATCCAGGTATCTGTCAGCCATCTTGAACCAGATGGCTGTGCTGGCTGCATCCTGGCAACACAACACTGGTTTGTACACGGAGCTGTAAGGCTACTGCATTGGATCTCCAAAAAAAAAAAAAAAAAAAACCCCAAAATCTGGGGCTCTGGTTTGGAATTAGGAGCACTGGCTGACATCTGATGAAGTGGAGCTGCCTACATGTGTTAGTGATTTCAGCTCTGGCTCAGCCGACTGGACTCCTGGCTGACTGACTAGCGCCCTTCTCGTAATACGGATTATAAAATCTCCTATCCCAATATCTCAGTGCAGTACAAGTAGTCACATTATGAGACGCTGTCTTGCTGCTTTTTGGAAGTAAAGTAGAGCTGACATTTACTCACTGGCCACTTTATTAGGCACACCTGTACAATTGTATACAATTCAATGCAACACTTCTGTGTTTATAAAGCTCAACATGTTTCAGTTTTTGGTTTATTATTGAGGTCACAGTTAAAGGTGGTGCTGTACTGGACTACATTATATTCAGAGGTGTCTCTATATTTTTGTCCTCCGCAGCTACATACATGAGAGGGTCAGAATATTAGTTTAGAATCACCATTCCCCGGAAGAGCTGCCAGTCACCAAAGTTCATCTCCATCTCTTTCTTCAGCTCGTCCAGGTTGCACTGAGACAGCACTCGACCGTTTATATTAGCCTGCAATAAACAGAGAAAGGACAGACTAGTTTGTTCACTGACCAACTTAATGTATTAACGTGTTTAATGTTCAATCAGGCCAAAAAAAACATTCAACACAATTGTGGGCAGGCAGTGCAAATGGAACTGCAGAACTTATACAAGTATGGAAAAAAAGCATATGGTTACATAGACATAGATGGTCTCTGCTAAAATAAGAAGCTTTATCATGTTTAACAGAGAAATGGGTCACATTGTGAATGTTATTAACAGACGCACCTTCTTTATGGTGGAGGTGTACTTAGATAGCATATTGGGGTCGATTCCATCTATCTGTTTGAGACGCTCACACACGGCATCTGTGGTCACAGAGCTGAGAAGGACCACAGGAGAGGCCTGCACAAACACACACACACACACACACACACACACACACACAAATATAGCTGAAATACAAACAACATATTCAGGCAGTTTTTGTAAGTTGAGGTTACCAGGGCAACTTGCACACTTGTGTTAGAGCAGTTAACACATTGATTAAGACAAAAACGAGCAACAATTCCTGGCAAAGGGACGTGCAGGCCCGCTGCTGCGAGGCACACAGAGGTGCAAAACCACAATCCCACACTATAATTCTATTTATCAGTCACACAGTGCAAGTGTAAAGGTAAACAGAGCTGCTAACCTATCCAAATACAGGTACCTGCTCTTATTTTGTTTCTCAGTGTATATATAAGCAAGTAAAGTGTTCGCGCAACACTTAAAGGATGGAGTCTGTAAGTCAAGCCGCACTGAAGCTGTTACCACCACGCAGCTACAAGGCTTAATGTGACTTATACCAGTGGCCTGTTGATGCTGATGGCTCACAGACAGCCAACACCGCCCCACTAGCCCCAAAACTAAACAAACCGCATCCACCGCAAACCCCCCCCTTTGCTCACTCCTCTCCCCCTGGCTCTGCTCGTCTTGAACTCTAGCTCTCCTTCCTTCCTCCCTTCCTTCCTTCCTTCCACTCAGCCTCCTGCAATGACCTCCTACTCTCTTATCCAACACCGTGTTTCTCGCCCTCATTTTTTCTTCCCTGCTTCCTCTCTCATCATCTCTGCTCTCTCCCAGCTATCAGCACCATTAAGACATGGCTTCAGACTATACTCCCTGTTTCTGATTTTCAAGAAGAGAAGAGCCAAGCTTAGTTGGACTTTGAGTGGAATTTTACACACACACAAAAGCAGCTCAACACAATACAGTACACAATAGAAGGCGCCAACTTTCTGTAGTGGTGAGCAAGAGGAGCAAGACTTGCACTAAGGGAGTTTAACTACAGTTTGTGTCTGCATAATAGAGGTTTTACTCTCAAATAAAACATTGTTAGTGAAGCTAATGAACTACTACATGACCTTAAGTTGTGTTTTGCACTATGACTTCTATGTGGTGAATCAATAATATCTACAGCATGCTTGCTTGCTTTGAACCTGAGTTAGAGATGAAGTAGAGACAGGTGGAAGAAGGAGAAAGGATAGGATAGGAAAGTAGCCATAAAACCAAAGGTGTACCTGCTTTAATTTGTAAGGCAGAGACTTTAAATGCTTCATAAGGAGAAAAAAGAAGCAGACAGACAACTAGTCAGACAAAAATACACACAGAGTTGTAACATTATAAACCTGAGGCTGGCCCTTGGGGGAGGGATAGAAATTAAGACAGAAAAGGCAGACATGCTATACGCTCGCTGAACTCATCATCAAGGGACAGAAAAGACAATGACAACAGTGGAGACAGACATTTATCTGCCTCACAGCAGGAGAGGAGATGGCTCCTTTACAGCAGCCACGCAGCCAGAAAGCCACATGGGATGGGAACGAAAGAGGCTATTGGGAGAATTATTATTATTACACAAGAAGATTTTGTTTTCACTGGAGTCAGTGGGCTTTTACAGTAATAATCTTTGCAGACAGAAAGGACTGTGGATGTGACAGAGAGAGAGGGGAAGACCAATAAGAGAATGACACAACTCTCACTCTGCACAAAAAAGCAGAGGTTTTAATTCAGGTCTTGAATGTGACTCTTCGATTCAGATGGCGAGTGTGTATCCTAAGAACTTGAGAAAAGGCGTAAATGTCTGCGGCTGTGTCTGCGTGTTTTTGTGAACCCTCCCAGTTTGTGTGTGATAAGACTGTAATTACAGCTGGGTTGAGCTCTCGGCTGGGCAGGAGGATGGGGAAGAGGAAACAGAGCTCTGTGATGGAGGAAGCGTCTTGGGAAGGAGATAAGCTCTACCAGCGCTGGGCTCACAGTCTGTGTGTGTGTGTGAGATGTGTGTGTGCCAGCCCCAACACTGGCTCTGATGATAATCCAAGCAGCCCAAGGAATCCATACTCACACTTATATCAGCAAGGCAATTACACTAGGCTAGGCCTGCATACATATCCAAAGAGTAACACACAAATGAGCAAGGGTGCACACACATCAGCAGAAATGCAAGCACTACACAAAGGGAAGAAGTGTGAACCAAAAAGGGATAAGATGGGCTAATGTACACTGAAAGGAAACTGAAAATTGAGGAGGAAATTCCCAAGAAGATATGAGGATCAAAATGGTCTAAAAATGTTAATAAAGAAAAGGATTTTTGAAAATTTAAAGACACAAAAATACAGAGGGAGAAGAAATGGTGGAAAGGAACATTACCTAGTAATCTGTATTTGAATCTTTCCTTTAAATTCTCGCTGGTAGCCTTGATAAGTGGGTTTGTGGAGCTGAAATCTCTCATCAAATTGTTCTTACAGTGGCAGCTTTCCCTTGAACGTGTGAATATCTGGGTGTAGACATTCAGTTCTTTTTCAGTACAACTCCATGCATTCCTGAAGTGAGTTAATTGCACTTTTATGTCCATTTTAGAGAAAATACTACTCTACCAACATCACAGTGAACTTAATTCACCATACTACATTTATATATGCCGTAGTTTGTGAAAATACACACCTCTCTGGACGGTTAGTGGAAGGTTGTAGTCACACCGGATGCAGATGAAGTAGTTATTCAAAGTACTCTGTAGCATGCAGCCTAGTGTGATCATCTACATTTGTTCTTCTCACTTTTGTAAACAGCTACAAAATACTGTAAGCAGTCTGTTAAATACAGAGGTCATGCATTTTGACAGCTGTGCTTTAAGCACAATGTCAGAGGGCAGATTAAAAAAAAGGACTAGTTGCGTATTTATATATCCAGAGTCCTCCACTATTACATGCATTTGTGTGCAGTATATGTGCTAAAATGGCTGCTACTGTTAGTCAGGTTACCATGACAGGGTCAGGGGGACAGGAGAAAAGATCTTCTCTGGCATCCTCTGCAATAACTTCCTGACATCGACACAGAATGGAAACAAGGTTTGTATATGGAGAGAAAAGACTAATGAAGGTTGAGGTTATGATGGCTGAATTTATACTGTGGAATAACTTTTCTTCACTTCTTTACTTTGAGTTTAGGCTCAGAAACTGGAAAACACCTCCCCTCACTGACTCTGGAAACAGGTACTATAATCACCAGGAGGTCATGGAAAATGTAAAGATAAAATATATGACATCACACTGAAGAGAAGGATAAAAAAAGGAGGTTGGTGAGAGAAAAGGAAGAAACAGAAAACAGAAAAGGAGGTCAGACTTTAGGGTATGTTCCTTAATTATATTTTGAAAACTAACAGAAAAATGGAACTAGATCTCCCTTGTGTGGTACTGCTGGGAACACGGAGCTCAAAGTAATTTAGATGACTGGGACTTTTGCACAGGACATACAGTGAATGGTGAACTCAATAACGGCTGCTTAAATCAATCCAATTACACAGTGTCAGTGTTGCTGTTGTATAACTACAACAACAAGTAGAATATCTGCTTGAGTGCAAGAAAAAAAAAGCACATGTTAAGTGGATTTAGCATTACTTCTTTACTTACAAGTCCATTGATGTCCTTTGGTTGACCAGGTGGTTTAATGGAAGAGCGCAAAGATGAGGGGACATGGTGGGAGAAATGTCGTGGCTGGTGATATACATGATGTGGGAAATAAGGCTAAGAGGGGAGAGGGAAGCAATGTGGGGGGTGGAGGGTGGGGGTAAACACAAAATGAAAATCATATGAGGGTGATCAGGCACACATAACAAAAATGCTGAGGGGAAGAGATAACACTGCTAACTCATTCAACCATGCTCAGAAACGTGAAGTGCTTATTCAAAAACTATGGCCACATACTACACTACTAACAGCTGCAACATTCACTCAGGGATAACTACCAAGCAGGTCATTGTAATGCTACACTATAATAATGTACAGAGGAGCAGCAATTCACTGAGTGACACTCAGGTTGCACATAACATTATGAGATACATAACATTCATTGGGTTTATTTTAATATCAAGATGATCACTTTTCACTTCTGCATTAATATGGACACATCATAGATGCTCAGCAGTAGGTAAAGAGCTGTTATCTAAACACACGTCCCGGCTCCTCCTCACCCGGTTGTAGAAAGGGTGCTGAGGGCCAGTCATCCCACTGAAGTAGGCACTGTGGGGCTGAGGAGGCAGGGATCCGGGGAAGGCGCCTGATGGGGAGCAGGCCACAGAGGGCTGGCCATAACCTGACTGGGGACGGGGCACTGCCTCCTGCAAGGGCAGCGTGGGATAGGTCACTCCTCCCATGTTCATCTGCTCTCTGGCCGCACGCACATCTAAGAGAGCACAGAGCCAGGGGGGAAAAAAAGAACAAGAGCGGGAGAGAAAAGGGACCGTTTATCTGCGATGCTGATGATCATGCCTTGGCGATGACTATAAAGACCCCTCAGATCCGCCCACGCGTCAATAATTTAACTTTATTTCCTCATCTCTAGAGAGTTTAGGCAGTTGTGAATCCACAGAGAAAAATACATATCAAACAGTCGATGCACACAAGAGCAAAATTCCGTGATTCTCAAACCACCGTAGGGAATACAATAAGAACCTCCTTCCTGAACATGTTCTTCTTATCCAAAATAAAAGACAATCAAACAACTAACTATGGGAGAAAACCAGAACAGATGTTATGAATAAAATGACCTTCAACTGTGAACGCTTTCTCACTGTGATTTCTATTACTCTGTGTACTGACAAGCGAGCAAGAGCGCTGATAATGTTTTTCAATTTTTAAACATGACGACTGTCATATGGGGCCCATTCCTGTCCCTGAAAAATAAATTGAACATTGTAAACAAACAAGGCAGTTCATGAGAACTCATAGACACCATAAGTGCTCTGCAACAATTGTTTTCATATAAATCAATCTGACTTTGAGAGGAGCTGCATAGGAGCGGAGTAGGGGAATTTAGTAAAAACCTCCCAAATTAAAGATAAATAAGCCCAGAGAGAGAAACTAGTGTCTCTGTGTGGCTGGTAAGAAAGTAAGAGCCAGAAACAGAAGCAGGCACCAGAATGTCTCATGGTTATACAAGTGGCTGTTAAGTGACACACTGAGTGAGACCTAATCCAGCCTGTGAACACAATGGGGCCTTATGATGTGAGTCAGGCTCATGGGCGGGTATCACTGACAGCACTACCCACTGGCTGGCCACAGGACACTGGGCACCAAGAAGCGACTGACCACGGAGGGGATGGAAGGAGCCGGATGACTGGGTAGGAGCACTGGTCACCTTCTGCTCCCTGGGGACACGTGTGGTGGTGAAAACACACTCTTGAGCTAACGCACACAAATAAAGGCCTGTTTCGTCGATATGTACAGTATACACACCTACACACTTTCAGGAAATGAGTCCTGTACTTACAGACTGGACATCTGGTTGGAGAGCTTTGTCAGCTGCACCCTTCATGACTCAAACTTGGCTTAATGGAACAGACTGTGTGTGTATTCAGTGGTCTCATAACACTATGATGCAGCAGCTTCACACTAGACATCACTGACACTCCTGTATAGGCTGAATGGGCGCTGACGCACAGTAGTGAAAGTACAGGCTTACAATATTACGTCACTGTTAACTACAAACTGTGAAATCTGGTGCAGCGCTACAGGCAGACGGGTCTGAACGAGTGAAAACGTTGTCCTGATCCCACATTGCTATAGTGGAAGCTTGCTTGACATTTGATTGTTTGGAAATGAGAAGCGAGCTGTGGGTGATTTTAGAGCAGACCCTCCTCTAATGTTATGAGTAATGTCACTGCCAAATGAGCTGGCAGTAAATTCAACACATCACAGAGAGGACACGTTTGTTTCTCTGTGCCATTGTATACTAAATTCTTTTATGTACTTTAAACACAACTCTACAATTAACCTCCTTCTCTCGCTCTATAGCACACAAACACATAAAAACAAACACATGTATGACAACACAATAACATTAAAACACATTCATCTTGTGCTAACTCCCAAAACTTGACAAGAAAAAACTTCTTTTTGTAAAAATTCAAATCATACAACCTCTATTGCCAAATTCAGCTTTTTAGAAGAATGGCATGCCTGAGTTTTAAGGTCTCTTTATGTACACAAAATGACTAACATATAATGGTTAGAGCAAAATATAGTTTCTCAGGACAGGTCACTCAGTGATATGAGGAGTATAAAACTGATGTGAATCACATGTTGTGGCTTTCAGACCAAAAAGGTTTTAACACAAGATCCAAATGATTTGTTTCTGATGCTTTAAACGAAATCTTGCTATTGCCATGTAAATGGTTTGGTTGTTATTTTATTGTCACATAATTACAATTAAATCACCTCCATGACATCTGAGCAACTTCATCCACTGAAGAAAGCCATGAGATGTGGTTGAAAGCTTCAGAAACAACAACAGAGTTGGACCTTGTGTTGAGAATTAATTTTGGTGACTTGCTGTTTCCAGTGTGAAAAATAAATTTACAAGCTCAAATTCCTATGGCCATCTCAGTTGTTAGATCTCAATAGAATTAAACACCTATGGGACATTTTGACATGCACTATCTAACAGCTTCATCAAAGCACCAAATGAGACACTAAATGTGTTCTGGAGGCACAATATATTGAGTATGTATGAACCTGCTATGATCTCCCTCAGTTTGGGATCAAGGTTGACAGTGCAGGGCAAGAACATCTCCACATCTCGGGCAGTGAGGACGGGCGTCCTAGAGGAGAGGAAGACCTCAAAGCTGCGGATGTCTCCATCGATCTCTAGTAGTGGCTCCACGTCCTTAGTGGTGGGGATGTTCTTGGAGAGTCTTCAAAAGGTAGAAAACGGGGGTTTAGCACATAGTAGCAATGATAGTTTTGCTAGAGCTACTCATTATGGTAAGTATTTAATTTACAGTGAAAAACCTAATGGCTATAAAGAGCAAAAGAATAAATTGTGCAGTCTTATTGACATGACACAAATATATCAAACATGTAAGCTTACACCATGTTCTGACTAGTAAATTGGCAGTGGTAAACACAAAACATCACATTCTGATGAAAAGAGGAAATAGCAAACAGTACTGTTAAGATTGAAGAGATAAGCAACAGTCATCATCTTCATGAGGACAGAGAGATAACTGGATTTAGAGAAAGCAAGATAGTGAAAGGGGGATGTTTGAGGACAGATAGACTGAGGGATGTTATCTTTTCTCAGCAGAGGAGGAAACCTGAGAAGATGACAATCAGGGTAATTTAGCAAGCAGCAGACGGAAGCATGTCATGATGCACTGCCACAGTTAACATATTTGTTATCGCAGGCTTTAGGTAAACACTGTGTCTGGAGACAAAGTTTATGGAATATTACATTTAAAAACTGCACACACTCTGGCACTGTACAGTATAAACTGACCTTAAACAAGCATCTCTGGTGAACAATAGATATGAATACTTAAGCTCTGAAGTAGGAAGTCCAACGTCAGTTAACGTCAAGATGCACCGCACATTAAATGTCTGTTGCTAGATTTCTTAGTCAAGAGTGCTGGTCCCTGGGTCAGAATTAGCTGAAAGCCCCATGCTAAACAAATGAATGAGTGGACTACACTAAATAAAATGTAATGATGTTAACACACTGATCTTTTCTGCTGCTGATGTGTGTGCTTTTAAGAAAAAGGTGCATTAATGTCATTATTTGTGCTTCTCTGGATTAAAAGGACAGCTCAGCATTTTCTTTAGCTGTTACCATGGCGAATCATACTATCGGAGCTCCACTGATGATGGGGTTTTATAGTTATCACGCACAAGTGTGCAACTCTGGATGAATCACCTCAAGAACTAGCTCTGTTCCGCTGTTCCTGAATCAAAGAGTTTCCTATCTTAGGGTTAATCAACCCACAGTTTAAAATATTATGGTGCTATTTAATGAATTGAATCAGCAGCTCCTGAGAAATGTCGAACTTCTTGAGCTAATGCAGGAAGAACACCCTCTGCTGTGTCCTTTTAATAATGGCGCTGATGTTGGTTGTCCACTTCAAGTCCTGAGAGATTGTGGTGCCCAGGAACTTGTAGGACTCCATGAGCGAAAGAGTGCTGCTGAGTATGGTGAGCGGAGATAGGATGGGGGAGTTCCTCCTAAAATCCACTATCATCTCCACTGTCTTCCATGTGTGTTCAGCTCCACATTATTACGACCACACCACAGGGCCAGCTGTTCAACCTCCCATCTGTAGGCCGACTCGTCACTGTCTTGAATGAGGCCGATGATTGTTGTGTCGTCTGCAAACTTCATGATTTTTACAGAAGGGTCTCCTGAGGTGCAGTCATTAGTATAGAGGGAGAACAACACTGGGGTGAGCACACATCCCTGGGGGGGCACCTGTGCTGATAGTCTGGGTGGTGGATGTGGTTTTCCCCAGCCGCACCTGCTGCTTCCTGTCCATCAGAAAGTTGGTGATCCACTGACAGATGGGGCAGGCATGGTGAGCTGGGTAAGTTTGGAGTGGAGGATGTCTGGGATAATGGTGTTAAATGCCGAACTGAAGGTGACAAATAAGATCTGAGCATAGGTCCCTGGTGAGTCAAGGTGTTGCACGGTGTAGTGCAGTGCTATATTGACTGCATCATCCACTGACCTGTTTGTCCGGTAAGCAAACTGTAGGGAATCCAGCCAGGGGTCTGTGATTGCCTTCAGGTGGGCCGATACCAATCTCTCAAAACACTTCATGACTCCAGATGTCAGTGTGACAGGTCTATAGTCATTCAGTTCCCTGATGGAAGATTTCTTGGGAAGTGGGATGATGGTGGAGCATTCGACACAGGAGGGAACCACACAAAGCTCTAGTGAGCTATTGAAGACGTGCGTGAAGATGGGAGCCAACTGGTCAGTGCAGACTTTCAGACAGGAGGGGGGTCACACTGTCTGGGCCTGGCGCCTTACTGATCTTTTGTTTCCTAAAAAGGCAACACACATCTCTTTCACAAATCCTCAGCGGTGGTGGACTGATGGGGGGGGGAGGCAGCCCTAGAGGAAGAGGAAGCAGCTACTGGTTGTGGGTCCAAGATGAGGTGAGAGAGGGGTGAAGAGTTTTGCCTTTCAAACCTACAATAAAACTCATTCAGCTTGTCAGCCAGCTTATAGCTGTCCACAACAGGGTGGGGTGGTCTCTTGTACCCAGTGATGTTCCGTAGGCTTCTCCACACTGACAATGGTTCATTGGCCCAACACTGATTTTTCAGCCTTTCCGAGTAGCTCCTCTTTGCTATTCTGATATTCTCCTTCGTCTTCTTTCTCAACCTGCTGTCTGAGGTTCTGGTGTCACTCTGTGACCTTGAGATATCCTCTTGTGGGACTTGTACCACAGCAGCTGGATTCTTTTTAAAAGTGCGTATTAGCGCTTTGCCTTTATCTTCTGCATTTGTGGTCATCCTCATTTGTTGTTTTCCTTTCTGGGGAGGAGAACTCTGGGAGTCTCTCTTTGTCCTTTGACATTTCACTATAAGGCCTTTTCAGCAGAGGTCTTCTACGTACTACTGATCTTCCTCCTCTTTCTTTCTGGGGAGGCACATCCAAGACTTTTGCTGTGTGTCTGGAAGATTTCAGCATAGGCTCTCTTTCTGTTCTCCAGAAGCCAGAAGTGGGCAGATCTTGATTTCTGTGTCATCTTCACAACCACCATATCATTGGTGGCTGACTGATCACATTTGGTGACTTTTGCAAAAGCGTCTTCTCCAACCAGGTCCTGGACCAAGTATTCTGTTGGCATGGAGGAGAGAAGACTTTCTCCCATGACCTTGTCTTGCTTACTGAAGGCCAGTGAAGTTTTCCAAACTATAAGCCTTATATATCACTTTGTTTGTAAAATGACCAATTTGTCATTAAAAACAGCACATTTATTTTAACTCATGGTATTTACCACAATATTATCTCTGGCACAAATTCACATAAATAGTATTATACATAAAATGTTAAAAGGTTTAAAAACATATAAGGTCAATCAAGGAGGAAACAATGCAGCCAATGCTACAAGGGAAGCAAACAGCAACAACCCAAAGCAGTAACTACTTCTGGTTAATTCCATCAATCAGACATGAATATATGAATCTCAGAGTGACTTATGACACCGGCCATTCATCACCAGAATGTGCCACTCTTATCAGATGAACGAGGAGATTCCAGTGGGAAGCAGACATTTGTTCTCATCTCTGCCTCCATTTCTCATCTGAACCCTTCATTGTTTTTTTTCAGTAGATACTTTTCTCTCCCTACATCCAGCTTAACCTTCTCTCTTCTCTGATCAACCCTGACTCACCCTCCCCACCATACGTCGCCCAGTCTGTGCACTGGTGTGCTCTGCTGAGAATACGGGCTGATGAGTTGGGGTTTTCCCTGGGCCTGATCTATTTTGGGGGTGCACACAGGCAGGCCTTTCTGTCACTTGATTGGATGATTCATGCCATTGCTGCTGCAATACAGTTAATCCAAACTATGAGTTAACCTAATCCAGTTAACATACTGTCTGAAATGCCCCATGTCATCCCAATCCAAAACTTTGATGTACAATGCACTTAATTACAGGTTACATCACTTCCATTTTAGGCTTTTAGCTGATAGACTGCTTGCAGTGGGTGAAGTAGTGTTTTGCTCAAGGACATTTTGACAGGACAGATGGCTGCTGATGGACGCGAGGTCACAGGTTCAAACCCTGCAACATCCTAGTGGTTACAGGATGTCTCTAACAAAATGTACAAGTCTGGCAGGAAGAAATGGAGCAATGGGGGTGTCCTGTCCTTCTGACATGTTAAGTAAAACTGTGTAAGTCAAATGGGTAGCTCATACATGTGAGGTGCTGAACAAGTGTAATCTAAATTATCAGTAACTCTAAATCAGCACAGGTGGGTCACTAACCCCACTGTACCCTTGAAACGGATAATACAGACACACTAGGACTGAAAGAAGAGAGAAGAGGCTGTGAGAAGGGAGGACACAGAGGTACAGCTGGGCTCCAGTGGACAAAACCCTCTCAGTGTTTGCTTCCATTAGAACCTTTAACAAGACCACCCATAGGTCAAGGAAACCTCACGTTGACACCAAGATGAACCCTTGCTCATGTGACCTCTGCTGGGGAGGATGGGTGGGACTCTGAAGGCACAGATGTTACCTGTGTGCACTGGTGAGTGGCAACAGAGCTTATTCAAACAACATCCACAAAAACAACTGTATTATGTCCTCTGCAGACACCTGGGCGGCGAGAATGGAGAGAGTCAAGGGCAAATAAGAAGGGTGGTGTGTGTTTCTATGCATGTGCGAGTACATGTACGGTATGTGTGTGAGGGTGTTTGGTTCCTTTTCCCATGAACTGTATTAACCCATATACAGACTGAGAGAGGCCTGTGCTTTTCCCCCTTCCAGCTGGCTCACTGCTGTTTATTTGTGGGCCCTCAGACACAGACCAACAGGAGCCAATGACTCACACACGCACACACAAACAGGGCACTTCCTTTTGCTATATAGAGAACACCCTCAGAAGACTTTCTAAGGAAATCTGAGTCTTTTTATAGGACCATCGAACATAGCTCAAAGATGTGTCAACACAGCCACACGAGTTCTGGGCCAAAACTGAGAATGGACAAATAGCAATGAATCTAACAGAAAGACTTCTCACGTTGTAGTAATATTTGACAGACCTACAACTTCATCCTTCACATGCTTTGCCCAACACATGCTATCCAGCGACAGCAGCATTCAAGAAACTAGCTACAACCTCCCACATTTTGCTGGCCTACATGTTTGCTCTGGCGTGTAGCTGTCCAATTGAAAACATGGAGCAGC